ATGGTTTTATATCTTTCTCTTGATTATCTAAGTTAGGCACATGAGCTTAAAAAATGACGGAAATGAAGTTTGAAGTCATCACTGTGATACAAGATTAGAGAATTAAGAAAAATATGATATGAAACAATACCTTTGATATCTGTCTTCGGTTTAGGGGTGACCTCTTTAACCATAAATGGTTTCTTGTTATCTACAACAAAATGTTAAAAGGTGAATCAAACAAAGGTAATAAAATTGGTAACATCTCATCATCATTATAACACATAAAAGGAATGTAATAAGACTTTGTAGCTTTATATGTACCATCATTGAGATTTTTAGGATTTGAAACGATAGGACGAACCAGATGAATCTCCCTATCTTGTTTTGGTGGTGAAGATGACTTTTGATATTTCTTTTGATTATCTAGAATAGGTCCTTGCACTAAAGATATAAAAATGAGAGAAACAAAGTTTGAAATCACTACATAAACAAAAAAATTAAAGAATTAAGACAACAATAATAGAAAGCAATACCTTCCACTTCCGGCTTTGGTTTAAGGATGGCCTCTTGAATTGTTGATGGTTTCTTGTTTTTTTCTTGTTTTGGTGGTGAAGATGATTTTTGATGTTTCTTTTGATTCTCTAGAATAGGCACTTGCACTAAAAATATGGAAATAAGAGGTTTAACGTCATAACATCGACATAAAATTAGAGAATTGAAACAAACGTGTTATGAAGCAATACCATTGATTTCCGGCTTCGGTTTAAGGGTGGCCTCTTGACCAGTAGATGGTTTCTTGTTTTCTTCTGAAAAAACATAAAAGATAAATTAGACAAAGACGAAAAAATGATAACATCTCATCTAATGAAAATATTATACTTTCATCTTTATAGCACATAAAAATATTTGTAGGTTTATATGTACCATCATTAAAACATTTAGAATTTGAAACAATAGGAGGAACCATATGAATTTCTCCATCTTGTTTTGGTGGTGAAGATGGCTTTTGATCTTTCTTTTGA